GGGGGGGGGGGGGCTATTAGTCACTGACTTCCAAACTGTGAGCTAACCCTTAACGTTTCCCTGGTCCTTTAAAATGATGAATCCATTTTAGAATTTTGGGTTGGAGGCATGATATTGTAATTTGATTATGGGGTTGGAGCTGATTCCCAGTTCAGATTATATTTATTGTCCCACATTGTATTCGTGTGCTTATATCGGAATAGAGGAAGTCCTTTTTGCTCAGAGGCTAGGAAAGGCAGAGAGAATCCCTAATAGAACATCTGAAGTACAACTTGGGTGTCAGGTTTACTTATTGTTTAGTACAGTCAATGAGGAGCTTAAGCTCATCACAGTTATTGCATGTAGCCATTATTGTTTTGCTAGTTCTTCTTTGGATTTTGCACGTTATCTGTAACACTATTTCCCTTCAGCCAAGTTAACTCTTTTCTCTATGTAGGTATGAGCGATCCGGAAGTTAATGAATATAGGTCAAGCTTGGCAATTCGTGTATCAGGCTTTGATGTTCCAAGGCCTGTTAAGACATTTGAAAACTGTGGTTTTTCTGGTGAGTTGATGAAAGCTATCAGTAAACAGGGATATGAAAAGCCCACACCAATACAGTGTCAAGCATTGCCGATTGTGCTCTCTGGGAGAGATATTATTGGTATTGCTAAAACTGGGTCTGGCAAGACTGCTGCTTTTGTGCTTCCTATGATTGTCCACATTATGGATCAGCCTGAACTTCAGAAAGAAGAAGGTCCCATTGGAGTTATTTGTGCACCTACTAGGGAATTAGCACATCAAATATTTGTGGAGGCAAAAAAATTCTCTAAATCGCATGGTATCCGTGTCTCTGCAGTTTATGGAGGAATGTCTAAGTTGGATCAATACAAAGAACTAAAGGCAGGATGTGAGATTGTTGTTGCTACTCCAGGGAGGTTGATAGATATGCTTAGAAAGAAGGCATTTACAATGTTGAGGGCAACTTACCTAGTACTAGATGAGGCTGATCGGATGTTTGACCTTGGTTTTGAGCCTCAGATAAGGTCCATTGTCGGTCAAATTAGACCTGATCGTCAAACATTGCTCTTTTCAGCAACTATGCCCCGCAAAGTTGAAAAGCTTGCCAGAGAAATATTGACAGATCCTGTAAGAGTTACCGTGGGTGAGATTGGCATGGCTAATGAGGATATTACACAATTAGTTCAAGTGATTCCTTCAGATGCTGAAAAATTGCCTTGGCTTTTGGAAAAGCTCCCTGTACTGATCGACAATGGTGACGTTCTTGTCTTCGCTTCGAAAAAGGCAACAGTGGATGAGATTGAATCTCAACTGGCTCAGAAGGGATTTAGAGTTGCAGCTCTCCATGGTGACAAGGATCAAGTTTCTCGTATGGAGACGCTGCAAAAGTTTAAATCTGGCATATATCATGTTCTTATCGCAACTGATGTTGCTGCCCGTGGTCTTGACATCAAATCAATTAAGTCAGTGGTGAACTATGACATAGCTAAAGACATGGACATGCATGTTCACAGAATTGGGAGAACAGGTCGTGCTGGTGACAAAGATGGGACGGCCTACACTCTTATTACACAGAAGGAAGCGCGTTTTGCTGGTGAACTGGCTAACAGTTTGGTTGCTGCCGGTCAAACTGTGTCCATCGAACTAATGGACCTTGCTATGAAGGTACTTTTATGTATTTCTTTTTATTTTTCCTTGAAATGAATGGGCTTAGCATCCTATTTTTTTGGTTCCGACTCTTAAATTTGACTAAGTGCGTTATGTACATGACATTCACTGCCACTGTTAAAGAGTGTGTGTTCGATTTTGTCGTAAGTCCCAATAGCAGCAAACATGCAAAGGGCTCCCTATGTGCAAGTTTTCTTAAAGTAGCTGCCTCCAAATCCTCTCCCCTCTAAAAAGGACGGACAAACCAAGAAAACAGGAAGCATTTTTCTTTTGAAGTCAAAATTTATAATGGCATCCCTTTCGGAGATTCTCTTTACTAAGAAAAACTATGATACAAAGAATAGAGAAGCTTTTTATGGTGCCTGATACGAAATATGAGACCAAGGATGCAATGTTGTTATAGAGGTTGACGTAGGACATTATCAAACTATCTCCAACAGCCTCTCGTTTATCCTCTTCGTGTTTTGCTTGTTCCTTTTGACTAATGTGGTAATTTTCTTATAGGCAATGAGGTAATCTTGTCAAGTCTTATATGACATCTTATTCGTCTTAGCATCCACGTTCTTGCAACACATGTTTTTCGATGCGTAATATTCACTCCCATATAAAGGTGCTAACCTTGCAACTGTTGTATAAAACTTTCCTCTTATTCAGTGGGTATCTTTCTATCACATATCAAATGGGTAGAACTTAACTAATTCAACCATCCTATTTTGACTTTGTGTACATCCTCATCTATCATACCATTCTCTCGGAACATCGAGCCTATACATCTGCATTGCTTACATTTAGACACCTCAATTGTGTCTGATTGCACTCCAACTTCCTTGTTTATATGCTAGCTAAACATGCAGTGCATTATTTCAGACATATATTGTCATTTGCTGCTCCCCGTTTTGTGCTTTTTGGGTTGTTGCTTAAAATACTCAGATCTTATTCTGTTTGGATGATTGGATTTATTGTGTGTAAACTCTTAGGATGGGAGGTTCCGGTCCAAAAGGGATGCAAGGAAAGGAGGTATGGATTTATTCCTGTTGTTGGTCTTACTGAAGATTTACCCCAAATAATTATGCATTTATGGGCACTGACTATATTCCATGTAGCAACTGTTGGGTACGGATTGTGTTCTGCTGTTCCCCCCCCTTCCTTTTCCTTCTTTAACAAAAGAGAAGTGGGATTTCCTCTAAATTCTTGATTGTCTATCCAAACTACTAATGAGAAGTTACTGTTTTTTTCAGGTGGAAAAAGGGCCAAAGGAAGGGGAGGAGGAAACAATAGAGGTGTACGAGGTGTGGATTTTGGTCTAGGTATTGGATACAATGCTGAATCAAATAACCCTCCCCAGAACGCTGCTCCAAGCCGTTCTGCAGCAGTTAATTCCCTGAGGACAGGCATGATGGCACAATTTAAAAGTAACTTTGTTGCTGCATCGTCAAATTCTCAAAATCAAGGGATGAATAACACAGCTGGTGCATATCCGAACAAGGGAATGGTCTTACAAGGCTTTGTCTCTGGTGGGACAATAGGTGGAGAAAGTAATGCTTCCCGTATTAGTTCCACATTTGCTGCTGCTACACCTGGTGCATATTCTTCTAGTCAGCCAGCTAGAGATGGAGCAAACCAGAAGAGTTCAGAGAGGTGACTATACCTTCCTTTTCTATTATCAGGTTTATCAATTAGTGTAAATGAAAGTAGATGAACATTAAATTAATCAAAACTGTCAAACTCATTTTACTTTTATTTTTTCACCATTGCAGTTCAAAAGAGAAGTCTAGAGAAAGACGGAGGCCTTCTGGTTGGGATCGTTGATTTGCTATTTAGGGATACCGGAATAATCAACTTGTTCGCAAATGAACTTTTCCTTTCAAAGTAACCGTGATCAGTTTTTTTCAAGTTCTTTTTTTCTTCTCTGTGTTATGTTGCATAGTTATTTCTTTTAGACTTGTGTACTTGTAGTCTCTGATTCCATTCCTATGATTTTGGTGACACAATACCATAGGATATACTTAGTTTACGGAATATCCTGGTCTAAGTTGGCATAGCTTTTCTTTCAAACTCATCATCTCGATCGAGGAAAGGAAGGGAAGATTCATCGATATATCCATAACAAGTGGCGAGAATGGAAAGACTGATCAGATTGGCGTCAACTGCGGAGCTGGTGGGGGAGAAGTGTCATGATGATGGTTTGTGTAGAATGATTTTCATTGGAGATGGCGGGGGAGAAATGTCATAGGGCTTCTTATAGGTTGTGTAAAATGATTATTTTCCAAGCGTGTGTCGTATGCAGCATTTGATTGTTTTGATACGTCAAAATTGTTCTTGTAACTTTAATCCCATCCTGGTCCTTAGAAAATTTTAACATAGGGCTATACTAATAGTGGAATAGGTTAAAATGTAAATTATCTACTTCGGCTGTAGTTTCAATTGCTTTGTTAATTTGTGCCACTTATGGATTATATTGCTCGCATACTCTAAAAATTTTGTCGTACTTGTGTCAGACCTTCTAAAAATTACACTAATTTTTTGGACCCGAAAATCATAGCTTCTAGATAAAATTGATTTTGATTTGGTCATCAGAGTATCTGTTAATAGAGCACGTAGTGTAGATTGATAAACATGCATAAAAAACATGCATAAAAAGCAAAAGGGTTCAACACATTTCCTTTTCTATTCTCTTCTGGAACGACCAATTCCCTTATTTTCCATTCTCTTCTAGAAGGACCAAGAAGCAATCGGCTAGTCGAATGAGTCCAATCATATAAACAAAGTAAATAATTTTGAGCCATATAAACAAATAAATAATTCTAAGCCCAATGTAGTCCAACGCATAAAAAATCAGCTCCAAGCCCAATATTGTATGAACCTGATATGAGCTCATTCCTGTATAGCCATCAGATTCTCACATGCGTATGCATCTCTTTTATCCTCAAAAGCGTAGAACGTGTGTTTTAATCTCTTCAGACAAAACACACACTCTAAACCTAGCTTGTCTTCTTCTTCGGAGTGTTTTCTAGAACCACCGGAGAGCCACCGTTAAGAGCCACCGGAAATTTATTAGAACCACTATATCCGACACCGACAAAGGGAAGCTATTTTCATTAAAAAGAACATTGGCGGGAGAACTCCGAGAGGGAACAAATCACAGTTCACCTGAAGGATGCAGAGAATCCACGTGTCAGTGAGAGTCAGGCCTCTCTCGCCGGAAGATGCAAAGTCCAGCCCCTGGCGAATTTCCGGTAACTCCATCTTCATTTCCAACTAGCCCGCCAATATCAATTTGGTACTCTCACTTTCTCTTCTAGGTTTTCTCCCTTTTCTTTTTATGAACTATTTTTTCTCAATGTGCAACTTTTTTCTTTGGGTTTGCAGATAGAATTTTCGAGGAGGAATGCAGAACACTTGAAATCTACAAAGCTCAAGCTGAAAATATTGTTTCTGCCGCAATTCAAGGATTTAATGGTATAATACGCATCTTTTTTCTTATGTTTTAGCGTTTGTTGTAATTTTCGTCTCGTCTTATATTTCCCCCCTATTTCTTCCGGTTCAAGTTTGGAATGCAGTATCCCTTTTCTTTTACCTTTTTAATATAAAAACACTTTTAACTTTTACTATGTTTGCTCCTTAGTAGTGAGATGTTTCGTGGTTAAAAAATTAAGATCGAACTCGGTGCAGTTTGGGAGGCATATGAGAAGCTTTTGAGGCCACCACAGGCAATTTTTTCCCCCCAGTTTAGTGAAGGCAAAAACAATGCAAGGAGAAGAAGATTTGAAGATTCATGATATCTATTAGGATCGGGTTACCGGGTAGTGCGAAATTTAGCCAAACAACGTTATAATGATAATAACAAAGACAATGCAAGTTGATAATAACGACAATTAAAGAAGATAAAGAAGACACAAATTTAACGTGGTTCGGTCAAGGTGACCTACGTCCACAAGCGGAGAGGAGCAATTTTACTCTACCAACAAAAGTACAAAAGAGAGTACAAAATTAGAGTAAATACTCTAATTAATCCCAAATACCCCAAGAGAATAACCTCACAAGATCACTCCAAAGAAAGGGTTCACACAAGTATTTTCCAACACTCACTCTCTTACAAAATACTCTATAATGAAATAAAGGAGGGGAAAGAAAGACAAGAGTGAAAAACTCTTGAATTGGTGTGTTTGCAAATAGGGAGAAACTCCTGTATTTATAGCAAGAAATCCTTGGCCTAATAGTGGATATTATGTCATGACAAATGTCACGATCCACAAATTTTGTTATAATGGATATTATGTCATGGCAAATATCATGAAAATTTGGCCATATTACAAATCTCAACCTTGGCCTAATTTCGGCTTATATATAGTAAATTTGCTCCACCTTCTCCGCAAAAACCCCAATGGGCAAAATCATTCTTCATAAATGCCAATCAAGTTTAGGCAAAGCTTGAACTTGGACAGTGGAAGAGGTTTTGTGAACATGTCAGCAGGATTGTCTCTAGTGTTGATCTTCTGAATATAGACTTTTCCTTCAACAATGGTTTCTCGGATGAAATGATACTTTTTATCAATGTGCTTCGTCCTCTCATAATACATTTGATCTTTAGTCAAGTGAATGACACTTTGACTATCATAGAAAATGGTAATACCACTTTGGTGTAAAATGAGTTCCGCAAATAGATCCTTCAACCATAAAGCTTCTTTGATCGCCTCGGTCACTGCCATATATTCTGCTTTAGTAGTAGATAAAGCTATTACATGTTGTAATGTAACTTTCCAACTAATAGCGCAACCACTGATGCAAAATACATAGCCTGTCAATGATCTTCTTTTTCAAGATCACATGCATAATCTGAGTCTACAAAACCAACCAAAGTGTTAGTATTTCTCCCAAACTCCAAACATGTGTTTGAAGTACCTCGCAAGTATCTGAGAATCCATTTCACTGCATGCCAATGTGCTTTACCAGGGCAAGCCATATACTGGCTTACCACGCTTACTGCTTGTGAAATGTCTGGACGTGTACAAACCATTGCATACATAATACTGCCGACTGCACTGGAATAAGGAACCTGTGCCATGTGCCTCTCTTCTTCCTTTGACTGCGGGGATTGAGCAGCTGATAACTTAAAATGAGCAGCAAGAGGGGTACTAACTGATTTAACATCTTTCATGACAAACCTCTCCAAGACTTTCTCCAAGTACTTCTTCTCGGTCAGAAATAGCATGTTGGCTTTTCGATCTCTTTTGATCTCCATGCCAAGAATTTTCTTAGCTGCTCCCAAATCTTTCATCTCAAATTCACTTTTCAGCTCACTTTTCAAATTGTGATTTTCTTCTAAATCCTTAGCAACAATGAGCATGTTATCAACATATAATAATAGGTACACAAATGAACCATCATTTAACTTCCGGAAGTAAACACAACTATCATACATGCTCCTCGAATAATCATGACCCAACATAAAGGAATCAAACCTTTTATACCATTGTCTTGGAGACTGCTTTAATCCGTACAAGGATTTCTTCAACAAGCAAACATGATCTTCTTTTCCTTCAATTTTAAATCCTTCGGGTTGATGCATGTATATTTGTTCCTCAATTTCGCCATGTAAGAAAGTTGTCTTAAGTGCAGTGTTTTAAAAGGCGTGGGCGTAAGGCGGGTCGTTTTACATATGCCTCAGCGGGGCGTAAGCCCCATAGGTATTTAATTTTTAATATTTTATAAAATAATATAATGACAATTAATATTTATAAACAGGTAAAATTGCATAAAAATTGAAGAAAACTATATATATGTGTGCTCCATCCCCACAAAAAACTAATCAAAACAATCTATCATACGTTACTTACAAGCACAAGTAATTTGAGTCTAAAAGAATAAAATTTTCTATATGGAGGAACAAAAAGGATGATTAACCTGCAATTTGAACTTTGAATTTGCTGCCATGAAGAAAAATGTAGTTCTCTTTGTATTTGTAAAAAAATTTAAATATTCGTTGCTTTTGGGAGATATTAGCAGACTAGCGGACAATATAAAAATTTGAAAAAACCATGAATTAGGGCTTAAATCAATAAAAAAGGTCTTTACTTTTATTTAATACTTTTGAGTTTCTTTTTAAACCTTTTGAGTAATTACCAAACTCACTTTTGAGAATTTAGGTATTATATGAAGGACTAATTCAACAAATTTTGTTTTAATTTGAAAAAGTCTCTGGGGCTTACTCCTTACTAAAAAAAACGCGCCCCGAACGCCCGGGTGTACGTCCCGAATGCCCGGGCGTATACTCGAACGCCCGGGCGTACGCCTCAAATTGCGGGGCGTACGCCTCTTGAGATTTTCGCCCCACACCATCGCCCCGGGGCGTTTTTGGTATGCCTCACCCCGAGGCTCGCCCCAGAAACGCCTTTTAAAACAGAGGTCTTAACATCAAGTTGTTCTAATTCCAAATCATACATGGCAACGAAGACAAACAAGACACAAATAGAGCTATGTTTAACAACAGGTGAAAAAATTTCATTAAAATCAACTCCTTGTATATGACTATAGCCCTTTGCAACTAATCGTGCCTTATACCTCGCATCTTCAACCCCTTGAATGCCATCCTTTTTTTTGAAGACCCATTTTCAACCAACAATTCTTTTTCCTGATGGCGGCTTCACAAGAGACCAAGTACCATTCTTGTAGAGAGACTCAATTTCTTCATTCATTGCAATTAGCCACTTGGCTGAGTCAGCACCAGAAACTGCTTCTGAATATTTTGATGGTTCTCCAATTTCTTCAGTTTCCTGTGCAATTGTAAAAGCAAATACAACATAATCTCCAAACCTTAATGGTTGTTTACCTTCTCTTCTTGGTCTATGTTTGGCTATAGAATACTCCTCATCTTCTGGTTCAACTTCAGGAGTCTCAACTTCAAGAATTTTAGTTTCTGGCTCAACTTCAGGAGTTTCAACTGTATTTTGCTCCAAAGTTGATGAGCTTGGCTCAGAAGGAATGCCAATCTCAATCTCCACCTGGTTCTGTGTATTGTTTTCTTTATCTGTATTACAAGAACTAGAAGACTCTTTTCTAGAATGTAACATAGAGGATTCATCAAAGGTTACATCTCTGCTAATTATAAATTTTAGTGCCGTGGGATCAGGATATCATAGTCGGTATCCTTTCACCCCAGATGCATACCCGAGAAAAATGCACTTTTTAGCCCTTGGCTCTAATTTTCCATCATTTATATGCATGTATGCAGGGCAACCAAATATCTTTAAATCAAAATAATTAGCAGGAGTACCTGACCACATTTCCTCTGGTGTCTTAAAGTTTAAAGGTGCAGAAGGAGCTCGGTTGACAATATAACAAGTTGTAGAGATAGCTTTTGCCCAAAAGGCATTTGTCAACCCAGTATTTGAAATCATGCAACAAGCCCTTTCCAAAAGAGTTCTATTCATCCATTCTGCCACACCATTTTGCTGAGGTGTCATTCTCACAGTACGATGTCAAGCAATTCCTTCATTCTTGCAAAATTCGTTGAATTCATCATTACAAAATTCCAAGCCATTATCTGTTCTAAGCCGCTTAATCCGTTTTCCTATTTACTTCTCAATTAAAACTTTCCATTGGTTGAAATTTAAGAAAACATCACTTTTATTTTTCAGGAAATAAACCCAAACTTTCCTTGAATAATCATCAATTAAAGTTAACATATACCTGGCACCACCTTTTGATGGGATACGTGAAGGACCCCAAAGATCTGAATGAAGGTAATCCAAAGTACCTTTTGTTCTATGAATCGCTGGAGATTTAAAGCTGACTCTTTTCTGCTTCCCGAACACACAATGTTCACAGAACTCCATATTTCCGGTACTTTGGCCACATAAGAGACCTCTTTTGCTAAGGATGGATAGACCCTTTACACTCATATGCCCCAATCGCTTATGCCACAATTTGGTGATGCTAGATTCTGATTTCTCTGATATTGAAACTGCAACATCACCTGTAATAGTAGATCCCAAAAGAGTATACAACGTACCAAATCTGCGTGCTTTCATGATCACAAGAGCACCATGAGAAATTTTCAGAACTCTACCTTCACATGTGTACTTGCACCCAAGAGATTCTAGAGTGCCCAAAGAGATGAGATTTTTCTTCAAGTCAGGAACATGTCTAACATCGGTGAGAGTTCTCACCACACCATCGTGCATTTTGATTCGGACTGTACTTTTTCCAATAACTTTGCAGGCAGCATTGTTGCCCATCAAGACAACTCCACCTCCAATAGATTCATATGTAGTAAATAAATTCCGATTGAGACACATATGATAAGAACAACCCGAATCTAAAGTCCACTCATTGTTAGATTTGAAACTATTATTAGTTGCTAAAAAAAATAGTTCCCTCAGTCTCATCAGCAGCTACACTTGCTTCGGTAATGTCAGTATTTTTGTGCTCATTTTTCTTTTCTGTATGCTTTTCTTTGTTTTTCAATTTAAAGCATTCAAAAATAATGTGACCTTTCTTATGACAATATTTGCACATGACATTTCTGTATCTGGATTTTGACCTTGATTTAGGTTTCTCACTACTTGAATCTTTCTTATTGGATCTACCTCTTATGAATAAGCCTTCCCCTTGGTTCCCACTAGTTTCCCTAGTAATATCTCTATCTATTTGTTCTTTTGATTTCAAAATAGATTTGATATCTTTATAAGAGATATTATCCTTTCCATAAAGCATAGTATCTCTTATATGTTTAAATGACTGGGGTAAGGAAACAAGCAATAACACAGCTTGATCTTCATCTTTGATTTCAGCATCTATGCTACTTAAATCCATAAGAAGAGAATCAAAAGTATCAAGATGTGTAAGTATAGAGGTACCTTCAGCCATACGAAAAGTGTAGAGTTTTTGCTTTAGGTAAAATTTATTTTCTACTGTTCTTTTCATATATAGGGTTTTAAACTTTTTTCATATGCCTTTGGCTGAGCTTTCTGCTGCAATTTCAAGCAAAACCTCATTTGAAAGATTTAAAATAATACATGCTTTTGCCTTTTTGTCTATGACGGCAAACTCCTCGTCCGTCATTTTATCCGACATCTTCTCCTTTCCTTGCAGTGCCATATCTAAGCCATCCTGAATTAGTATAGCTTCCATCTTTAATTGCCACATTCCGAAGTTTGCACTTCGGTCAAATTTCTCAACATAAGACTTTGTTAGAGTCATTTTGGCTATTTAAACTAATCCGGTTAGATCTGGCTCTAATACCCAATTGTTAGGATCGGGTTACCGGTTATTGCGAAAGTTAGCCAAACAACGTTATAATGACAATAACAAAGACAATGCAAGTTGATAATAACGACAATTAAAGAAGATAAAGAAGACACAAATTTAACGTGGTTCGGTCAAGGTGACCTACGTTCACAAGCGGAGATGAGCAATTTTACTATACCAACAAAAGTACAAAAGAGAGTACAAAATTAGAGTAAATACTCTAATTAGTCCCAAATACCCCAAGAGAATAACCTCACAAGATCACTTCAAAGAAAGGCTTCAGATACAGTAACAAGGCTGCCTCTGTCGCTATTATGTTCCAAATTGGTGAAAATGCTTCTTATCATAGAGTAAGTGGCTTCAGTACCTGTTCCCTTTCTCTTTCATGTTTTTCCTTTTATATTTCCCTCTTCCTGTTAAATATTATGAAATGCATATGAGAATAACGTCTGAGAAGTTCTTGTACTTTATAACTCCAAGATGGGAGGGTGTGAAGAGGGACCGGATACTTGCACGAACAAGACATGCAAGGGCCACGAAGTTGACCTGATGCATTTCTCAATAGGAAAGGCAATTCCTGGAAGACTATATGGAGGCAACCTGGTAGACAACAGTGAGGGAAATGGAGCTGACAGGTGAACCAAGTTGTTCTGCACTTTTTGTAGCATTTTACGGTGCATTTTGTGCCATTAAATTTGTCAAGAAGTACTAATTCATACCTTTTGGCACACTAGGACAGGTTTGGTCATTTGGTTGATCTATATGGTTGGAACCCACACTGCCGTTATTTAGATGGAATCGGTCCTTCAGGTATGATTTTGGAAATATTTTTAAGGACGCTTCAAGCTTTTTCTCAACATCTGTAAATTGGATAGGATAGATAATAGTTGAATGGTATCGTTGCATTCTATTGTAGTGGGACATGAAAATTAACATAGAACTACAAAAGACTCATCAAGTAGTGAGGAAGTCGTGGACTTATGCATATTAGTTGTATTTATTATCGTGATGTGCAACATTTTGACCTGAATTTTGGTATAGATCTTGTATTGTTAGGATTAGGACAAGCCTTTTGTTTTACAACACTAGTTTTTTTTGTCTGTGTTTGTGTGTCGTTCTGTGATTTTTGATTTTGTCTTCTCTCATTTTTGAACTAAGTCTGTACTGAACTCTCCTACCCCACCCCCGCGCTTAAAGGGAACTATTGCTTAATAGTGTACAAATGTTTTGGTCCTTCCTTCACTGAGTATCAATGGGTCTACTTTTCATGAGGAAATAAATTGCAAATAAATAGGGTTGTTACATTGTTTTCAACAACCTGCAAATTTTGTTAGGAAAGAAAGGGACCTCTCACTCAATTCAATAACATGTTCCAGGGCATATTATTTNGCAAAGCAATCTACGCAATTTCCGGGTTCAGTAGTAGGAAAGAAAGGGACCTCTCACTCAATTCAATAAGATGTTCTAGGGCATATTATTATAATAATAATGTTCGCATTTGACCAGGCTTTTTGGACGTTCCATGATTAAACCGACTAGCGGCACTTTCGAGATGCCACCTTGTTTATAAATGTAAAAAAAGTCTTTTCTATTCCATTTGACTCGGGGGTCAGGGACCCTCCAACAGAAACCTCGTCTTTTTTGTCGTCGATAAGTTCTCCCTCAGTGCCCTACTAAGAAATACTAATTGTTGAGAGACTGATTTATGAAAGCCCGGTGAGGCCTCAACCGGCAATGTTGCTTCGTTCTGCGGCGGTTTTCAAGCTAGCACCCGTTTTAGCATATCATCTCGCTCGATTTCAAAAAAAAAAAAGAAGACGTTTTTGATTATTTAGTTCTATATCGAAAACGAGCAGTTGATCCCACGAAAGCAACGTTGGCTTTGTTGCGGGTTCAACTGGAATTGTAAGAAGTGAGGTAAATTGTCTTTCTCCCCACCGCATATGCCTCCTCTGCTTATGCCACTGGTGATGAACTCACTATGGCTATTCAACGACAAACTCAGAGTTTTTCTTACTACATAGGCGGCTAAACGAAGCCCCAGTCTTGATTTGTCAAACCCCAACCCCCTTATTAGTAGCCGAAGTAAAGGCCAACATGAGATCAAAGTCACTTGCTGTCCGTTCGCTCTCTGTTCAACAAAGGCCATCGATATTCCCTTACTTCTCAAGTTTTGAATTTTATGAGCCCTTCGATTGTATCCCATAATAAAATCTCTCTGATAAACATCTTGTCGATGATTCGATTTTAACATATTATTTATAATCTTCGTGTGCGCTTTTCGCCTGCCTTCTTTGCGTAAAGAACTTAACTCATCTGAAGTTAAGAAAAATGAACCATTTAACCTTTTAACCAGTGTATGCTAAGTTGTGGCAATAAGAATCTGAACTTTCTGAAATTGGAACCAGAACTTGAATAGGAAAACAAGTGGACACACCCGCAAGGAAACCCATCTAGAAACCAGCGAGTTGCCTAAAACCGCCCTTGTTGTCTTGCTTGCTTTTGGATAAGAAAGACTAGTCACTTTAACCTACCTTCCTAGCTTTAGTTGCCTTAAAGCTTGTCTTTCTTTCAGAACCTTGTTACTTTTAAGCTGTCTTTTCTCCTGAGGCTTTCGGAGAGTAAAATTGACTGGGATGTAAGATAATTCTCTGCTGTACGGTAGTGCAATTTCCTCTTGAAGAATATACAGAAAAATGACCATCACTGTTCTTGATGGTTGAATTCTAATACGGAGCAAGATATATCGTAGGAGTAAATACATCTCAATTGAAACATGGTGGGTTTTCACACTCACATTGATCACGTACATGGTCACCGGTTCTCACTTTGACCGCCAAATATTGTAGCAGCTGTTATTTACTTATTAATATGAACAAAATCTGGTGGAAACTGCAGCCTATCTGCTTTCTAGATGCAGGACATGTCGTTCTTCTTTATTTTCTTGGTAGGTATTTGGCAATTAGCTGATCTCAAGCTGAAAGTGTTGTTGGGAAAGCCATTTTAATTTCTAGTATCCAGACTGCAGAATTCTATTGCATATGTTTCAACAGCTTTTTTTCTCCTCTTTTTCTCTGTGGTCTGCCTATTGATTTCTCCTTGTATAACAGCGAATGATTCTAGTGCACAGAATGATTGGAAAGGAACTTGGTGGTACAGTAGCTTGACTCTTCACTCAGGTAAACGAACATATGGTTTCTAATCCCTGAAATTTTTGTCAGGTCTGTACATTTTACTTGTCTTTTCCAAAAAAATAAAATTAAAAATAAATAAAGCTCCTTTCTTCTCTAGCTTATAGTATGAGGCATAAATACATTAGAAGTTGAATTTTTTATGAACTAGAAGTTTCAAAACATGCATACAGGAATAGAACAGTCCGGATACCATACTTGTAGGAAGTTACAAAAGGGATCATAGAATAGAACAAATCTTTATTTTATTTGACCTGAAACATAGAAGGGTTCACAAGCAGATGGTTCTGAGTGAACAGGGAAATACAACCCACTTCGATTCAGATAACAGTTTTTAAAAACCGAATGATAAGCCAACTTCCCCGACTTTCTGCACTACTGCAACTCAATTGGCTGTTTTGACATCATTGATCTAACACATTGATGCTGTAACGTCATCATCTTCTTCCTGTGTTGCACAAACTTCTCTCTTTCCACATTCTCAACTGAACTTCCACAGACACCACATTGGACTTTGAAATGGTACCATTTAAGGATGGAATGCTCATGGAGTAATAGCACTTCACTGAAATGCGGATGTTGAGATGGATGTGCGTACATGCCATGTTAGATAGAATTAAAAATGAAGTTATCCGGGACAAGGTGGGCGTAGCCCCTGTGGACAAGATGCGGGAGGTGAGACTTAGATGGTTCGGGCATGTGAAGAAGAGAGGCATTGATACTCCGGTGAGGAGGTGTGAGAGGCTGGCATTGGAGGGCCAATGGAGAAGTAGAGGCAGGCCGAAGAAGTATTGGGGATAGGTAATTAGGCAGGATATGGCGTTGCTCCAACTAACTGAGAACATGACCATGGATAGGAAGGTGTGGAGGTTGAGAATAAAGGTAAAGGGTTAGGTAGCCGAGTGTTGTCCTTGTTTGTAACCGTAGCTTTGATACATCACTTAGTGTCTTTAGTGTATTTTCGTATCCCTAGACTTCTGTTATTACTTGTTACTGCCTTTGTTTCGGTTTTCTGATTGCATTACTTAGTGTTAGTTTTGTATTTTCTCTTCGGTTGTCAGATTGGTTTGCTTATTATTGCCCCTCCTTTTTTCCCTTCCTGAGCCGAGGGTCTACCGGAAACAACCTCCCGGCCTTTTTAAAGGCAGGGGTAAGGTCTGCGTACACTCTACCCTCCCCAAACCCTACTTGTGGGACTACACTGGTTTGTTGTTGTTGATATCCTTGTTATATACCTTTTGAAATGTATTTCTTTTTACGAATGAAATATCTGAGTTGTTACTTTTGTTATACTTCACTTCCATATATATAGGTTGAGAACACCTAGACACTAGATTTTAGGCGAAAATTTTGCTCAAGGGAAGAATGAATACAGATGATTCATATAGTCAGCCCGAACTAATTTTGGATGGAGTGATGGTTTATTGATTAATTGATCGGTAGTACTCCTGAGGAATCCAAGGGAACTAACTTTGAACACAGTAGTAAATTCATCTCAACATTTATTTCTATCCACATAGATCTTTCCAGAAAAAATGCCGAGACTAAATATATTTTTGGGACTAATTGCAGAAGATGATAAATTGAGAACAAAAGTAATCTTTTTTTTTGTTGTTGGAAGCCTATGTCGAACATGAACAAACATTCCCAGGAGCTATATGTCCATTAGTTTCTTTTTGTTCCTACCACATGCGGTTTTGTTGAAATAGCAATTTTATCAGTTAAGTTGTAAAAATCTTAGTGAAGTTCTTTTCCTCATCCATGCTAATCCAAGGATAAGATAGAGACTCCGTACACCTTTCCTGCATTCTAAGATAGCATAGCTAAAGACTGGGAAGATTTTCTGCTGTAATCAGTAGAGATCTCTATGCCATACCACAGAAGAACAGTTTAGATTCCGCTGAGATAGAATGCCCTTTTAACTTAGGTATCTGTGATAAACACAATAATGCAGGGAATAAGAGATATTTAAATGTTATGTGTAATGATGTCCAAGTATACATGATTGTCATACGGTAGCGACGTTTTGGAAGGCTGTATTTAGAGTGAGGAGAACAGAGTGTATTCTTTACATGACTTCCTCAATTACCTATAGATTCAACAAACGGCTGAGTTTTTGTATCCTTAGCTTTGTACATATATCAGCACCATCTTGCGGCTGTTTTCCAGTAAAATCTCTTACTTACCAAAGAAAGAATGAGAGGCAAATAACATGGGTCTCAGCCAGTGCCCTTGTTTGTGTTGTATATATCTGTATTGCTCCACTGTGGCTTCGCATTATGAAGGCTGTTGACTTATCAAGCGAATTATGTTAGGAAGCCTGTGTAACAAAAAATTTGTTGTTGTTTGTTAGTTACTGTGCCTTACAGCTCCTTGCCTTCTACTACCTTTATTCCAACACTAACTCTTAAAGTTGAAACAGGTTTTGTTAAGGATGACAGCCCATATTCATCCAGCAATCAATCCGGTGCATATTATTTTGAATTTTCCAGGCCACTCAGAACAATGGATCGCCTTCAACAGGTAATGAAGTGCTAACCTGACAATAGTAATTGATGGAGAGTGCTGTTACAATTGAAAATCACTTCGACAGCAGACGTTGGAGTAGAACACATTTCCTTGCATTTTTATACAGAATTCTTTCTGCTTGCATGCATTTGTTATTTACATTACAACTCCCTTCGAAACCAGCTCTTTAATTTCTACTGACGCAAAGTTGATTAATTGTGGTTGGACGTGGACTTTTTACAGGACGCTCAATTCACAATTGGCAAAACAAGCAAGATGTCTGTGGCATTTTGGTACCCCATCGATGGAAAACCATGGCACGGATCGGGTCACTTTTCAGTTAGCTGCAATTGGATACCATTGGATATCTTGCCAGATGGTTCTGAGCTCACTGATGTGCCACAAAGAAGTCCTTGGGACACAGCTACAGCTTTCTCTCTTCTCTTTTCAGTAGTAGCTTTTTGTATATCCATCTTTGTTGGGCATAGAGTTTCAAGAACCAAGAACATCGCTTTTACACCAATGGACAATCTTTAGAACAGGGCCAAGTTCCTGCAGATCCTGGAACTAGGTAACACGTTTGCTTCTTTCACCTAAGATGTCTTTTGCAATTTACACTTATAGTTGGAGTTCATGATCAGATAACCTTTTTGCTTTTGAAGTAACGTCGATCAGCTATGAAGCTCATTCTTGACTCTATTCTCTTTTTGTGAAAAGGAAAAAATTACGACTCTCTCTCCCTTTTGGTTTTTGACAGTTTTCTCTTTTGTGTTGGAATGGCGTCAAAACTATGGTTGCTATGTGACTTTAGATCTCAAGACACAGTAGTGTAAATATCATGCAAATAAAAGGAGCAACTTGAAAGGCTCTTTTGAGAACTCTGTGTAAATCAAGTAACTATCCATTATTTTATCAATTTTGGGATCTTTCCATTATTATATATGTTATGAGAATCTAATTTTCCTTCTCAAGACATGCAATAAATTAGAGAAGAATAAAGGAAGAAAGGGCAAACTACTTTTAAAAGAAACACAAATACAGCTTTCCTAGATTAAAAAGAAAAAATGATAGATAAATCGCAATTGTGTTCGCATAATAGGCAGAGAAAAATATTTAGCCTGTGCACTGATATTAAAAAGGTCTACGATATGAATTGTAAGTAGAATAACAACCCAAAAAAAGTAATATACAATGCACAAGTTATATACATCACTGTTAACCAAATTTTAACTGTAATTAATAATTCCTAGAATATTATAATGATCTCATTGCGTAGATACTATATATCTTTTTATAAAGTTAAAACAGTGCAGCTACATTTTTGCATCTTCCTCTGCAAGGACTAAGTTGTGCATAAAAGTCGGTAAATTTTTCACTAGGACTTGTGTGTGTGTGTGTGTGTATATACACACACACACTTCTGTATATGTATCATTTGCTGATGGAACTTAAACTAATGTGAAATGCCAAATGCCACCAAGCTGTAGGAAGAAAGCTGGCAACGCATGAACTAGAAGAGCAGAATTACTATACTACAATGCCATAACATGAATCCAGAAACTGAAAATCATTATATTTAAATGGCAATGCATGAAATTTGAAATAAAGGCGGAAAATTAAATGGTTGAAACTGCCAGCGCGTGAAGAATATTAATCAGTTGAATAAGAGCAAATTTTCTCTCAATAAAGACATGAAATTACACAAACCTTGCTAAGACAATGTTTAAGCAGTGTTCCAAATAGCGAAAAGAGCAAAACAGTGAAATCTATGGAACTTGAAGAAAAAGCAAGAAGTGAAGCCTTCTTTGAAATGAGGCACACGATTTAAACAAAAAATATTAAAAAATGCCAAGCATCCATAATTTTAGTACTATAATCAAGCTGCTATTAAAATAACTAATTTCAACATCCAATATACAGTAATGTCAATATTGGTCCAACTCCTCAAAGTTGAGCTTCAAAGAATCGCTGCTTTTCTTTGGATTATTTTGCGCCTCATTACTTGAAGCGCACACTTCTCTGAAGCACATGGCCTCACCCATGAAGCGATAACCGCTTCCTTCAGATTACCTTGCTTTAAGCGACAAAGCGGTGGCTTTTAATAACACGTCATTTAACATGTCAAGTTCACAGAGGCTGCGCTAAGACAGGTGCATGGAGGAAAGATCTTGGAATCCTTCATGTACTTCTTTAAAGATATAGAGGCACGTACCTATACAAAAAGAGGATGGAAAAGAAACAAAACCATATGGGCATATCCTTTAAATTATTCAGGACAAACCCTTTTAAGCAAGCCTTCGAGCTCGCAGCTCATTTCAATTCCATCTTCCTTAATTCTCACTAGCATATCGTCTGCTGTTCTGTTGGCAGCTATGTAAGTGTGAAGCAATGAACTATATATATCACTACTAAGACAATTCAGCTTTTTCAAATACTTGTAGAACTCCTCAGCACCACCAACATCTCTCTCTTCTACAAAATACTCGAGAAATTTATTTATTGTTTCACATTTTGGTTGCCACTCATTCTCCTTTACAAGGAATACAACTGCTTCCAGGCACTCCATAGCAAGATCGATTCGACGATGCCTCAAAAAGAATGCTATGAACATTTCCCAAGCCAAGAAGAAAGGTCCTTGTGATCGCTTCAAAGCACGAAGAAAGAGTTCCTCCGCATCATGTAGCATGTCATTTCTCAGACAAGCACTAATGACATTATTTGGCAGCCTCATAGTGTAACTAGGGCAGCTCGATTCCCATTCCTCATAGCATTTCTTTAAACCATCCATGTCATTAAGCTTACTGAGGGACTGAAACATGACAAGATAACTAGAATTGGTTATTTCCAAGAAACCAGACTTTAGAGAATTCCAAATACGATAAACCTCAACAAGATTAGATATTCCGGCATGCAAACTAATCAAATAGTGGTATGCCTCACGATTACGAGGTCCCATCTCTTCCTCAAGCTTCTTTAGAGCTAACTCAGCTTTGTCATGAAGCCCAGCCTTAACATAAGCAACAGCCAAGTTACTATATATGGTCCAATCGCACTCCTCTACATTCTCCTGCTTTATCTCCTCAAAGACTCTTTCCACTCCTTCTATATCATCTAAACAAGAATAGCTATTCATCAAGATACTATACGAAAATGTACATAGTGGAACCTTTCTACTCTTCATTTCCTGTACCAAGGAGGGTACTTTTTCTGGTTGCCCTAGTCTCATATATAAGGACATAAGATTGTTGAATGTCCATGAATTAGATGCAAAATTCAATTGATCCATTTTCTCAAAGAGGGACAACGCCTTGTCTGTCATTTTTTCAACACAGTAGCAATGCAAGAGTGCTCCATAAGTGCTTTGAATCTGCATCGAAGGTGAGAGGCTGCCAAAGTAATTTTCAGCTGCCGTTATTCCTTGAACTTTTGCTATGAGATCTAACCGTACTCCATAATCACCAAACGACAATTTTATACCTCTTCTCTCCATCCAGTCCATTATCTGCATCAATACATTGGAAAATTCAAAATCACTTTGATGTGGATATACTCCAACTGGAAGACATAACTTAACAATGTCTGCACAAACATATTTCTCGCAAGCAGTTGATAGAAACATATAATGCATTTGTGACAGGAAATCCATCTCCTCTCTGGAGCATAACTCCAAACTTCTAACTAGAGCTTCTTTTTGTTTTTTGATGTAGATTCATTAAATGGCATCAAGAAGATGCAAAAGAGTATAAGGATAGAGCTTTCAGGTTACAAAAGAGATTTGATTAGCTCCAGTTACCTTATGTTTAGGGAGCTAACAAAATCCAAATATTGATCAATATTATTTACAGGGGTCAGTTTAGACCAACTAACGATATTTGCCAGACATCTAGCATTCAAGAAGTAATTAGGAGTTGAGATTCCACGAAAACATCTTCTATTCCTCTCTGTCCATAAGCACCAAAAGATACATGCTGGGATCCTCTTCCAGATTTCATTGAAGGTTTTATCAACTCTCCATAGACTCCAGCTTTCAAAAACCTCCTTAAGACTGAAAAGCATTACCCAACTGAGTCCAAAAAAGCAGTAGAACATATTCCATAGGTCAGCAGCAAATGTACAGTGGAGAGGTAGGTGACTTTCTGAGCTTTGCTGACACATGTAACATCTGTTAGCATGCTGGAAATTTCCTCTGATGAGGTTATCTTGTGTTATGCAGTCGCCTTTTAATGCGATCCTTCTTGCATGTTTCTTCTGAAACTCAAGTCCTATGTGTTGCCTGCTCTATTTTTGTGCAATGCTTAAGTCTGGATGTGATTCTATAAGATGCAAACTTGGGAATTCTTCTCTCAGTATTGTTCCTCCTAACCATTTGTCCTTCCAAAAGCTTATATGAATACCATTTCCCATCCTGAAGTGACATTGCTGTAGAATTCGTTCTGTTGACCACTAATACTTTTCCAACATCCAACTCCATTTGTTCTCACTAGGGTTATAACATAACAATCAATTATGCCTTATCAGTTATTGCAAACTAGTTGGGGTCTACTATGAGAATCTGATATATACACTCCACTACATTCAGGGCATTCATTCCATTACATGCTAACAATTTGTCTCTTAAGACAAGCTTGTTGCTTCTTGATATTTTTACATCTTAGACAGAAACTGGTTAAGCCTGAAAGCATGCCCTGTGCAGTTATTCTTCAGAAAGGAAATGAAATGGAGGAAATAATGTGCCAATATACTCTTATTTTTTAAAAGCAATCAAGAAATTCACAACACCAACAGTTTTAAAACCCTTTGCGCTTACGAATTGGAAAAGCTGAAAGCTTGGCCTGCATTCTTTGAGTAGCTTACCATTGTTCATACCAAGTATTCTCTCTTCCCATGCCGTAAAGATTGTCATCCTAAACTTAATGTTCCAATTCCGAGACTATAACAATCAGGCATCTACACCTGAATCCCGAATTAGTTAGAGTCGGGCATATGAATCATCTACAACCATTCTACTCTATTTGGAATCACTTGATTTCCAATACTAAATAATTAGTCCTTCGGAGCACTTTAAGGTTCTGTGAAAGAATTCTCAAAATCTTGCAATTATCCCTACACTACACAAGTCTGGCAAATACAGTAATAAATTAGTCGGATCAGCATTATAGTATATTCATTCCATTTTACCAGCTCATTCATAATTTATCCTTTAACGCAATTTAAGGATTCTCTAAAATAATTTTCATGTGTGATATACACGTCTGTAACTAGACTAAAAGAATTCTTGGTAGACACCAAACCTGGAGCCCTTCTGGATTAGGTGATTAAAATTAGTTGATAAGCATCAAGTGCTCATAAGCATCTTAGGTGCTGAAGTTGATTTTATAAATAAGCAATAAAGTGTTTTCATAGAAGTGCTGAAACTGATAATAAATAAAACGAATTACTAAAACTTTTTGCAATTCAAACAGGGTTAGAGGTACTAATAATCAAGAGATTCTAGAGGCTAAACCTCAAGGGCATGTTGATATCGTCTATGTTTACGCAGCTCCTTTATGCATTTGTTCAGTTCATACTTCTTCACAACTCTGCCTTCTCTAATATACTCATTTATTGTTTCACTAACCGACCCATTTGTAGCTTCCAAAGCCCACAATCTCAGGTAGAGCCGCCGGTCTCCTTCACACTGCTCCTCCTTCACCGCCGCTGCCGCCGTGGTACATAGTCTTCTCAGGTTGACTGCTGCTTCCTTTGAAATCTGGCGGGTCAAACTCCGGATCATTTTGGCCCGATAACTTCCTCCTGCATAACTTCCAGCCCGCAGAAGATAGAAACCCCGCAAGGGTTTTTACTAGGGTTTATCATTTTCTTTCTTTCTTTTTCCTTTTTCCTCGTCCGTTCTTTCTATTTTTTGATTGGAGTAAAAACAATAAAAAAAAATAAAAAGGAAAGTCATCCACGATAAGTGAAGGGAGAAATGTCTTTTCACCAAAATTAGTTCTGTCTTTATTTGTTCCAATTTATCCACATCTATTATGTGTCATATATAAATTAAAGGCAAAATATATATATGCCTACTTAAACTTGTTCAATATTGTCACTTAGGATGGCTTGTACCTATTACATAGGTTAACTTCACTCCATACGTGTCTATCAAACACAAAAACTTTGACATGTCAAAAAATGTGCATTCCACTTCTTTTAGGCGCGTGACAAGTTAAAATTTTCAATTTTTCTTTTTCTTTTTTATTTTTTTAAAATTATTTTTACAAAACCACCATATACACCATCCCACCGCCTCTAGTCCATCATCGTCGTTCTCTGAAAAGTCTGCCACTGTTTTCGTTTAATCTTCTTCCATCTTACATTTTGCCATTGATACTACCCCAAATTGAAATTTTCAGTAATTACAAACGAATTTTCAGGAAGAATAAGATAAAAAAAATGAAACAAAAACAGACCGAATTAGCGGCTAACAACTTGAATCTATCCAAATCAAGAAATACTCATCAAGTTTTTCGAAACTTTGTCTTTAACGGGATATAACAATATTTTGTTCTTATGATAAGAATCTATTAATAAATGATATATACCAAAAATATTAAACCAAATATCTTGCCAAAAATTTATTTTCGATCACTTCTCTGTCACTCCTGGTGAAGGAAACTACAAAAAGATGGACATCAGAGCTAAGAGGTACGACTAGACCATGGTTGAAGTCGCTAGAGGAGGAGATGGAGTGGTGAGAGATAGGGGTTAAAATAGTGGTGACCGAATTCCGACCAGTCATCGCAGACGACGGACCTGACGAGAGAGAAGAGAGCAAGTAACCAAAATGTAATCTTTTCCTAAAACTATACCCCCATCTATGTCTGCTACTTCTACAATATGTTAGTTCTGAAATTTAAAAAAAAAATAGGTAAAGGGAAGGGAAGAAGAAGATCCTGGTAAAAAAGAAAGATGGGTGGATGGGTGGGGGTTGTAAAGACGCACAGGGGAGGGGGTTTATCTCTTAAAACCATTTTCTAAAATAGGTAAAGGGAAGGGGAGAAGAAGGTCCGGGTAAAAAAGAAAGATGGGTGGATGGGTGGGGTGGTTGTAAAGACGCACAGGGGAGGGGGTTTATCTCTTAAAACCATTTTCTTTTTTAAAAAGGTTTTTTATTAACTTAAGTCAAAAGAGCCATGTGGATTCCTTTTATTCGTTAATTATGCCATGTCAGCGCGTGTGAAATACACACACCATACTTGTTTTACTGATTAATTTTTTATGTTTAATAGACACATATTGAGTGAACTTGAAGTATCTAATAGGTACAAACCTCACTTGAGATAGTTAAGTGACAATATTGGACAAGTTTAAGTAGTCGTATATTTACTCTGCCTAAATTAAATAATCCTAAACTATCTGCAACACTTCTAGTCAGGGGTGGAGCAAGCACATACACTGCTGGGAGTTCGGCCGAAGCTAGTAACTTTAGTTTAAATTCAATATTTATCTTAAATTTTTTATCAAATTATTAATTTAGAACTCAATAAAGAACTATAATTCATACGCATAAGTTTCAATTCTAGCTCCATCGCTACTCTAAGTTGTTATTACTTTTAAAATAATGTGTTTTGTTTAAAATCCCTTGAATGAAATTGAATTAATAGGTATATTTATGATACCCCTTTCTCAAATAGTTTACTGATTTTACATGTATATTATAAGCCAAAAGTAATAAAATGCATGATAAGGTTGAATCCCCTTGACTTGAAACAGAAATTTGATATAACTTATTTTTATAAAAGTTGAATCTTTATAATAAAATTTTTGTCTATGCTACTTGTGTGCGGGTAAAATCGGGAGTAATGCCTACCCCGATTTTCCGATGAGAAAACGGAGGGAGATCACGGATGTACGAGATCCTTCATATCAAGATCCAAGAAGAGTGAACGATGTGTCCGTCATCGGGTATGATAAAGCGACGCACCCCGAGCCGAGAATGAGATCTAAGACCTCATGAGACATGGTGAACTGTTACGCATGACAGATAGAGGGTTGTGATACTCGCACTCAACCGGACATCACGGCGTAGATCTCGCTCGATATCGATTATGGATCAGCAATTACCGGGAAAGGAAGATTTTTACCTTTTTTAGACTTATACTAGGGATGAAACTCTCCTACTATATAAAGGAAAACTTTTTCTTTGATAACACACATTGTAACTCTCAAATCAAAGCAATACAAGTTTATTTTCCGCCTTTTAGCTATTGTTAAAGTTTTTGCTCATTTGATCTACTATTTATTTACGACTGGGCTTGAACCGAGGATGAGGTCACTGGTTAGTCTAAGCTCAGGCTTGGCCATAATATTGCAATTGGTTTGAACGTTTATTTCATCTCTAATTCATTTATTTGATATTCTTAATTGTTCGTGTTGAATTAAACTACATATCCTTAAAAACGCATACAAATTTAATTATTACCCAATTTTGGGATAAACAGTTTGGCGCCCACAGTGGGGCTAAGAATAATAGTGGTGATTTGATATGAATCTCCATAACACACCCTATTTTACGCTTGTTCTATGAAGTCTTAATATCATGTCAGCCCAAAAATGTTAAACTCTCAGTCTGCTCACTTGAACGTTGACGCTAAGTCTGGCCATCACGGCGAAAATAATAATTTGGTGCCCAGTAATGAGGCGCCTCCAACCGATCGTAACGGCATCCCAGCTGTTGTCCGGTCGATGCCTACTTGCAGGTGGCCATCAACGTCAATTTGCCAACTGATGTCAAAAACAGTGTTCGTGAGGGACTCTGACCAATAGCTTGAGAAGCGCTCGAAGGCGAAGGTGATGGGGTAAGCCTACGGATAATCTTCAAAATATTGCAGGCTTAACAGGAAGCGATAACGTAGCTGCAGAGTCAAAGCCACACCCACAACAGGGTCGATTCTGAACGATCCCGGGAAAGCACTCAAAGAGATGAGCAAATTATCTAGAGATCGGGTGAAGCTGAGCCCGAGGTAAATACTGAGGTGATGAAGATGCTAAAAGAATTGACAAAACGAGTGGAGTCGGGTGAGAAAAAGATTGAGGCTAATGACAAGAAGGTGAAAACATCTAACTCCAGGGTCGATCATATCCCGGGGGCACCCCCGATATTGAAAGGACCGCACTCCAAAAAGTTTATCTAGAAGCCTTTCCCCCGAGCGCGGCACCAAAGCTGATCCCCAAGAGGTTTCGTATGCCTAACATCCTCAAATATAACAAGACCACGGATACAAATGAGCACGTGACCTCCTACACATGCGCAATCAAGGGGAACGATCTAGAAGACAATGAGATTGAGTCGGTATTACTGAAGAAGGTTGGGGAGACTTTGTCCAAGGGGGCAATGATATGGTATCACAACCCCCAAATTCCATTGATTCGTTTGCTATGCTTGCAGATGCTTTCGTAAAAGCCCATGCCGGGGCTATCAAGGTCGAGACTAGAAATTCAGACCTTTTCAAGGTCAAACAGAGGGACAACGAGATGATCAAGGAGTTCATGTCAAGGTTCCAGATGAAACAGATGGACCTACCTTTGGTTGCAGATGATTGGGCCATTCAGGCGTTCACTTAGGGGCTCAACCCTCGAAGTTCCTTGGCCTCTCAACAGCTGAAACAAAATTGGGTGGAGTAACCGGCGGAGGATGACCAACTTGGGGCCCCTTCTGGATCTGTTTAACCCATCAAGGCCGACGATAGGTCTAGGAGGGTCATTTATTAAGAGCCATGACCAGTCCGAGATCGATATCAACCATACAGCGTGGACCGAAGGGGGAATGGATCCGGGCATCATCCCGCAAGGAACGAGAAGAGGAGTGATTGAGGACCCGGTGGCCGAGGCCTGATGAGCAAAAATGGGTTTGATAGGCAGCTCGGGAGCAGGGAAGCACTGAGATTGTCGGAATACAACTTCAACATGGACTCTACCAGCGTCGTGTCAGCCATAGGACGCATTAAAGAGACCAAGTGGCCCCGACCTTTGCAGTACGATTCTACCCAGAGATATCCCAATTTGATATGTAAATATCACGGCACTCATGGTCACAGGACCGAAGATTGCTGATAGTTAAGAGAATAAGTTGCCCAGTTAATCAACAACGGGCACCTCCGAGAATTCCCGAGTGATCGAGCCAAAAACCACTCAGGAACAAGGATGCCAACAAACAGGTCGAATAAGAGGAGCCTCAGCACGTGATCAACATGATCATCGGAGGAGTCGATGTCCCCAAGGACCAGTGATAAAGTGCACTAAAGTATCTATCACAAGGGAAAAACACACCCGGAATTATGTCATCGAGGGAGCCATTTAGTTCAACGACAAAGATGTCGAGGGAATTGTACAACCTCACAATGATGTACTGGTAATATCCATACTTATCAATAAATCTCGAGTTAAATGTGTGTTGATTGTTCAAGGTAGCTCGGCCAACATCATCAGATCAAGGGTTATAGAGCAATTCGGGTTACAGGACCAAATCGTACCAACAGTCCGGGTATTGAACGGGTTAAACATGGCGTGTGAGACCACTAAAGGAGAAATAACCTTGCCAGTGAACACTGCCGAGACAATTCAAGAAATAAAGTTCTACGTGATCGAGGGGGACATGAGGTATAACGCTCTATTCGGAAGGCCATGGGTTCACAACATGAGGGCAGTACCCTCGACCTTGCACCAGGCGTTGAAATTTCCCACACCGGGGGAAGTCAAAACAGTCTACGGAGAACACCCAACAGCGAAGGACATATTCTCTGAGGACGAGGTAATCCTGGTACCCACGATTTCAACATCAAGGGACGCGAAAACGGCCAGAAAGGAAGAGATTAAATAGCATTCATTGATACCGGCCTCGGCTGGACCGGGAAAAGATGAGGAACGAAGAGCAGACGATGAGGACGATTACGACGTCCCGAGATTATTCATAGCTTCTGATGACACCGACGCCACCAAATCGACGGTTAAAGAATTGGAGCAAGTCATATTAATAGAACACCTACCGGATCTAAAGGTATACCTGGGCACGGGGTTAACCCCCGAGCTCAGGAAAAAACTTATTGATTTTCTTAAAGCTAACGTCGATTGTTTCGCTTGGTGCCATCTTGACATGACAGGGATTATACCGGAGGTAACCACTCAAAAGTTGAGTTTGGACGTGAAGTTCCATCCGGTTAAGCAGAAGAGGAGGCAGGATGAGGTATCCAAACTTCTAAAAATAGGATCTATCCGGGAGATTAAATACCCTGAACTGGTTAGCTAACGCAGTGGTAGTGCCTAAAAAGGGAAATAAACTAAGAATGTGTGTGGATTATAAATACCTAAACAAAGCATGCCCTAAGGATTCCTTTTCTTTGCTTAACATCGATCGAATGATCGACGCGGCTGCCGGGCACGAGATACTCAGTTTTTTCGACGCCTACTCCGGGTACAATCAAATTTGGATGGACCCGGACGATCAAGAAAAGACTTCTTTCATTACCAAATTCAGCACCTACTATTATAACGTAATACCGTTTAGATTAAAGAACGTCGGTGCCACTTACCAATGCCTAGTAAACTAGATGTTCGAAGAACAAATATGGAAATCAATGGAGGTTTATATTGATGATATGTTGGTAAAGTCCCTGCGAGCAGAGGACCATTTGAAATATTTGCAGGAAACTTTCGACATATTAAGGAAATACAACATGAAGCTAAACCCGGAGAAATGCGCATTCGGGGTCCGATCGGGCAAATTTCTCTGGTTCATGGTATCCAATTAGGGGATCTAGATCAACCCCAACAAAATAAAGGCCATAGAGGACATCACCGTGTGGGACAGCGTCAAGGAAGTTCAAAGACTAATCGGGCGTATAGCTGTACTGGGCCGGTTCATCTCGAGGTCCTCGAACAATAGCCATAGATTTTTCTCACTATTGAAAAAGAAAAATAACTTTTTCTGGACCCCGAAATGCCAACAAGCTTTGGAAGAACTCAAACGGTACCTGTCGAGACCCCCCTCCCCCCCCCCCCCCCCCAACTTTAAAGGCAGACGGA